GGAAACAGTAACAGAGGATGGCAAGTTGTGTTGTATTACTGTGGATGATGGCATTGGAGAATTAGTACAAGTGCAATGAATCAAGCGGTCAGTCTGCATAGAGGTACATTTTGGTCTACCCGATCTTTTTCACGAAGTTAAGCTGCCAGTCTGCTGCAATCGAGTTATTGTGTTATGAACTACAGTTTTAGAAACAGACAAACGTTCAGCAATGCTTCTTTCGGTGTATCCCTCCTCTTTCAAAATACTGATCTGTGCTCGAACTGATATTTGTAACTCACACATTTCAGTGAATGAAAATTAATGCTAAAATCAAAAATGAGAATTTGAAGCACAAACAGCAAATGCCAGATTCATTAAACAATAACTATATAAATATGCAATACAGTATGTATGTATGTAATGCATGTATATAACAACATAATACAACAACAGCGCTAATATGCGTCAATCCTAGGACACTTTCATGTTTATTAACTGCTATAAACTATTACGTAATCTATAGTTTGCCATCACACAGTAATAAACTACCGCAAATATGAAAGCAAAACCGAATAATATAGTGCATGTTTCATATAAAGTTCAAAGAAGTTATGCGTGCAACATACTACATATATGATAAGTGTATTACTCATCAGTTTTCCTCACATCATCAGTGATGCTGACAATAAATTGTTGTGTTCTGAATTATGTTGAATTACTAATATGAATTATATTGGAAAAAATTGACATGGTTGTTCATTGAATAAAATTTTATGGTTAAAATCAGTTTTTAGTCTTTTTCAACCCTTGGTCTCAGACTTTTGTCCAGTACTGTAGATAGATAAGATAATCCGTATAAGTATTTCCATGACTGTTAATCTATGTTATTATGACTGTTTATTTCCATGACTGTTAATCTATGTTAATTCCATATCTGTTAATCTATGTACTCCCAATTTCCTAATACTAGAGGGAGGGGGTAATAAAAGTGTGGGTGGGTTTGGGGAGTTTAGTCAAGATTTAATAAACCAGGGGGGGTCAGAATTTACACTGAAAGTTTTATTACTTATCAGTAACTAGTATATATTTTTTAATTTTTAAAGCTGATTTTCACTGATTTTTTTTGTTTGTTTTTAGATATCATTTTTTTGTTAATAACAAGTGAAAATTAATAAACGGGAGGGGGGTCTTAATAAGCTTATGGCGGGTGGCAAAGTTTCTCAAAAATTAGTAAACGCTCCTCCCCCTCCCTTCAATTATGGACTCGAGAGTATACAATAAAATAAAGCCAAACACAATAAAATAGAACAATTCAACGAGTTTTTCATTCATTGTTTTCAAAATTTTTAAAAAAGTTAGAAGCCCTAACCCATTTAAAAAAAGTTTTTTAATATTATCGTAGGTACTGAAAACAATAAATTAGTCAAAACAGTAGACTATTAGCGGTTAAATCTCTTTTTGGATTTATAATAATACTGAAATTATTAACAAGTCGTTGACTAAAATCTTTTTTGTTTGTGTAAAAATAAATTTTAGATTTATGTTTATTTTGTACGTATTTTGACGTTTTCGGCCTGTTTTATTTGGTTCCACGTTGTTCAATTGATAATTTATTACAGAAAAATAAAATTAATTTATTTTAATAAAAATAATTTAAGTTAATATTTATCATCAAAGTTTTGTTACGCTTAACTATTATAAATTAAAACATTTGAAAATTTATTTTGTACAAAAAAATTTAAAACATATTCAAAAATATTATACTGTTAATTGACTATTTCATAATACGTCTGCGATAACCCACCAAAAAATTCTCCTTATGAATTGTTCAATTTTGTTCAGTTTGGATTTAGAATTTAATTTCTAATAAAATTTTATTATAAGTTAGTTTACGCAACTTTTTACGCAAGAAAAAAAAACATAAAAAAGTTTTTTTTTGGGTGCCAAAAATTTAACGAGATACTTTAAGAAAATATTTCATAAAAAGTCTATGAATTGAAAGTATTTAAACACGTATATCTTTGAAACTAAATAGGCTACAGAGGTGGTTAAAACCATTTTGAAAATGAAATATAATAAGGAATATAATGCATTTAATATAAAAAATATTTACATTTGCAATAAATATTGCCTAAACTCCCTACTTAGGGGGTGTTACTAAAACATTCATAATTTTTGAAATATTTGATGCAATTTTGTTTTGTAAAAAGAATAAAAACATCAATAAAATGTTTCATCATACGACATTTAGTACATTAGTAAAAAAACCTCCTTTAGATTAGAAAAAACGCGACAAATGATGTACTGGGTTATATTTTAGTAACTTTTTGTTACTTTTTATCAATAAAAAATTAGAAAAATATATTTCTCATAGTTATTATCAAATACACTCGTTGTTTGACTGTTATTAAAATAAAAAAACCTTATTTAATTGTTAAAGATTAACTAAAATAGTTTTTATTGAAGTCTGCAAGAAACCGCATTTTTTTCAAAATTATAAAAAATGTTGTTTAAAGGGGGATTAGCTGTTAAATGAGTATGTTTTAAATATGAAAATAATTCACTAAGTTAATAAATTCAACGCATTACAAAATAAAGCCAGATTTGGATTTTGAAATATTTAGTCTTAACATTTTAAGCTAAAGCTTTTTAAAAAGTTAAGCAATTTCTTTCTTTCTGTGCATACGGTTTTAATAATATAAGTAACTTACACTGTAAATCTAAATGGTTCTTTGAGAGTTCTTTGACGCACCAAATGGTTCTTTAAATTCATTTGGGGTTCTTTAACTAGCTAACGGGTTCTTCGCGCAGTTGTATGGTTCTTGATCAAATTTCGGTATTTTGATAAGGTTCTTCGTGTTTTTAAACAATTTATAAGGGTTCTTTATATATCTCGCGTGCTTATTGGAGTTAAACGCTTAATGGTACTTTGTAAAAAGCATTAAAAAAAATCTGATTTAAAATTATTTGAATTTAAAGTGTTTCGTTGGTTTTTGGTATGGCAGAACATTTAAATTGGAGTGTAGAAGATGTCTGCAGATATTTAGAATTAAAGGGACTTCCCGAATTGAGACAGAAAATTACTGGTTTGATTGTTGTTTTAATTTTTTTATTTTATAATTATTTTTGAACTTTAATATTTTTTTTTAGTCTAGTCATTTTTAACTTAAATTTAAGTAAAATATTTTGGAATGGCAGCAAATAGTAATATTTTATGCTTTACCTGTTCCACATGCGGTATACATAAGTATTCTATGCAAAAATATTTAGATCATTTGCATATTATGCATGAGCATACAGCTGGTTATCTTGCTGTATGTAATATTGATGGTTGCCCAGCATCCTATAAATCTATAAAATGTTTGCGTCAGCATATTAGAATTAAACATACTACAATTTACTATTCAAATAATTTGTCAACAAACGTCTGCACTACTTCAACTGCTGAAATATTAGAAAATAAATATTTAGAAAACTGTGATGATCAAAGCAATGGAAATGAATGTGACAATGCAACTATCAGTTGTTTTCATTCTGATTCACCTGATTTGTCTATGTCATTAGAAAAGTTGCTAGACACCTTGCAGCAGCATTTTGCTCTGTTTATTGTCGGAATAGCTGAAAAGCATTCAGTTCCATCTGTGGTGCAAATTGATTTGGCTAATGAAGTCTAATCCTTGCTAACTTATTATAATAATAATTTTTGTAGTATTATAAAACAGGAATTAGGCAACAGCTTAGTATCAAATGAAAATTTACAAAATTTGTTAAACAATGAATTGATTTTAGATAGAGTTTTATCAGTTGTTAACTCCAGCAAAAAAATTATTGCCTTTAGTAAAGCCAATTTAGGACTTATTTTGCCACTTGAAATAAATTTGTGTAGTAAAGATGATATCTTAGATGAAAATGATTTTTGTGTAGATTCAAATTGTGATCATCAAAATGGTTTACCTAAAAGTGCTATTATTGGAAACGCTTTTGGTGATACAACTTGTAATAATGATAATAACACAAACATTAAAGAGTCTTTTCAATACATTCCAATTTTACCACTGCTTAAACAGTTAATTGAAAAAGAGGAAATATGGAATTCTATAAAACGAAAATTAGAGAATGATTTGTCTGTGAAAACAAATTTGCTTTATTCATATTCAGATGGTTTTATTTGCAAGCACCATAACATTTTTAATAACAAGTATGCTTTAAGACTCCATTTGTATATTGATGAATTTGAGGTATGCAATCCGATTGGAGCTCATCGTAAAGTACATAAAATATGTGCATTTTACTTTTTCCTGGGTAACATTTGAAGATAAATATATATCAAGACTTCAAAATATATACTTATGCATTCTTGTTAAAGAAAAATTAATTAAAGAACATAAAACATACAAGGATGTTTTAAAACCTTTCATTCAAGATTTAATAACATTACAAAATGAAGGCATATTAGTTATGGTTGATGGCCAACAGACACGATTATATGGTGGCTTAGCAACAATCTCTGCTGATAACCTTTCAGCCCATGCACTGGCTGGTTTTCGTCGTGTTTTTAATTCTGGTTTTTTTTGTCGTCAGTGTATGACTTCATATACTAACAAAAATAATATATTTTCTGAGCTTGATGCAACACTTCGTACTGATGAAATCCATCAGTATCACTTGGCTGCTATTTATGGCCAAGGTCAAATTTCATCAAGTATGTACGGTGTTGAAAGGCATTGTCCTTTTTTAGATTTATCATATTTTAAAGTTATGCAATCGTTTCCACCAGACATAATGCATGACATGCTGGAAGGTACAATTCCTCGATTAATTAGTCTATTGTTGTTAAAACTCAAAGAAGATAAATTAATTTCGATTGATCAGATAAATGTAGAGCTTAATACATTTGAAATAGGTAGAAATGACAGATTGAATAAACAAGTTCCATTTGTTGTACGTTCTGCTACTTTTATTAATTTTATTGGATCAGCCTCACAAAAATATTGTATGTTTCGTTTGTTACCATTTATGATAGGGAATCGTATACCTATGTCTAACAAATATTGGTTGCTGTATTTACAGCTTAGAGAAATAGCTGATTATGTGTTTGCTCCAAAAATTTCTAAATCAGTGTTATCGTTTCTGCAATTTTTAGTGGAGCAGTTTTTGCACAATTTTGCTGAACTTTTCCCAGACAATTTTACACCCAAGTTTCATTTCATGCTTCATTATGCTCATCTTATTAATGATTATGGGCCACTACGTTATTTATGGTGTATGCGTTTTGAAGCAAAACACTTGTATTTCAAAAAATTGGCTTCTTCGATTAGAAATTTTAAAAATATTGCCTATTCGCTTGCAAAACGACACCAGTTACGGCAGTGTTGGGAGATGACATCCTCAGATTTCTTCAAAGAATATGAGAAAACTTATAATCTTTGTTCCATTTTGTTTGAAAGTTTAGCAGCTTCTATTCAAGAAAAACTAGTAAGTTTTTTTGGTTATAGTATTACTGATAAGAAAGAAACTATTTGGAAGTGTAGCAGCTTGCTTATAAATGGAATCCAATTTCATGTTCATGATACAGTGATTCTAGCTTTATTACATGTGGAAGAAATACCATTATTTTTTAAAATATATCATATTATAAGATTTCGTCATCACTGGGTGTTTTGTGGCAAGTTTCTTATTTGTGATAAATACTCTGCTCACTTGCATGCCTTCAGAGTTGTGGAAGAAGAAGATTTGACAATATGCTTACCAGCAGATGTTCTTGATCACCAATTGATAGACACACATGTTTTGCAGGATGGGTGCTGTTATATTACACTCAGATACAGTTGTTTTTTATAGAATCTCTTTAGATTTTTATTATAACAATGTTGTAGTTAACTTGATATCATTATTTGGATACTTTTTTTCTTGCCAAAATGTATTACATGTGCAAATACTTTGCTTTTATTTTTATTTATTAAAATAAAATAAAATATTTATTGTGTTATTTTCTATGAGAGCTGCCGCGTCTTTAGCTGATTAAATATTTTATTGCATTAATTAATTTAAAATCTCAACATTTACCCTTTCACAATTTTTGTAAGTATTTTATTATAGAGGAAGAAATTGATGGAAAAACGCTGGTGTCTTTAACTGAGACAATGGTGGCCAGTTTATGTCAGACGATTCGTTGGCAAGTAGTACTCATTGAAATTATAAGGCATCTTATAACTTCACATGAACAGCACGAAAGAACTAGCTCTTAGTAAACAAATTTTTATTTTAGCTTATATGTTACTTTTTAATTTTTAAATTTTTACTTAATAAGTTGTATCTGATATATATCACTCTTAAATTAGTTGTTCATAAAAGGTTTTGTTTTTTACAAAAAGAAAATGTAATTAGAGTGCATAGTAATTGAAATAATATATTAATTAGTGTTATTGAAAATGATGTTTTAAATACATCAATAACATCCCCAATATCTTGTGATGAAGATGGTAGTATGATTGCTGGAGTGTCCCAAAGTATGAAACCATGGCCAGTGTGTTATCAACTACCCATTTTGCCTCCATCAGTAAATGCAGCTTTAGATGCTAAAGATCATTGTTTTCTTAACTTGAATCGTAGCAAATGTAGGAACCAGCTTTTACAATGTCTTTATGACGACATCAGCAGATACACAATGTAAGTTGCATTATTTAAAACTTAAATTTCACTTGGTTATATAAAACTTGTTTTTATAAATAAATGTAGTTTATGTATAATATTATATTATATATGTATAATATAATAATTATGTAAAACATATATTTAAAGATTTTTGTATAGGTATCCATCAGGTGTGCAATACTCAGCTGTACTTGCTGCCATTTGCAGTAGGTATCCACACTTAAGTGACTTCCCATCAAAAAGTACTTCTTCTTATAGATATGTTGTTTGTGTAAGTTTCTATGTAATGCTTTTGTTGCATTTACTGATTACATCCCTATTAGCTTTTTTATATGTATTATTTATATTTATACTTCTAAGTTTATTTATATTTCAATTTATAAACCGAAATTCAATTTCAAAAATAGATAAAATATTAAACACCTTAACACACACACATACACATGTTAGCCAACACTATTAGAAAGCTTGAAGAACAAGTTTAAAAAAGAAAGAACTCCTTTAATCCATTTGTCTGTTGTTGCTGAACATAAGAAGAAATTTGGCCAACAAGGTAGAGGTCGAAAAAGAAAGGAAGATGCTGTTAGTGATAACCAATCTTGTACTAGGAAAAATAGAGAATTGGTATAAATATTTTTTGCTTTATACATGCATTTAGTTTTTTCACAAATAAAAAAGAAAGATTTATTTAAAAGTAAAGTTTCTATTTTTAAAACATCTTTTTTTTAAAGCCGAACAAACTTCCTCTTGAGGAAGATGAAACAACTATTGTAAAACATCATGATGACATGAAAATAGAATGCAATAAGCTCCGGCCAGACATTAACATGCTGTTGGATCGCCAGCAACGTACTTGTGCTGCTCGTGCAAAGGATTTTGATTCTGTATTAAGTACAGCAGATTTAAAATCTACTTTTCCTTGGCTCTCTATTGCTAGATTGGTTTGTTTTTATTAGCATAATATTTTACTTTTAAGATTCTGCGTTACACTAGTTATAAAGTTATAAATTACTTTTTGTATTATTGTTTCTTACATTTTTTTATTCTCTTTGAAAAAAGTTTTATCTCAAAATACTTTTGGTAGGCTGAAAAAAATAACTTTTTAATTTATATAAATTGATACTTTCAAAAGTGTTTTTTCAAAAGTGTTTACCCTATATATATATATATATATATATATATAGGGTAAACAATCAATTAATTGGTTGTACTCACTTTTTTCACTTTTTATATCTAACCCATTTTGTACTTCATTTGGGTAGTTTTTACTAGGAAAAGGTTATTTTTATATAATAAATGTGAATAAATAATAGATAGGCCCATATTATAGAATATTGGTCCCTAAAATACTTTTATATTAAGGTAGTTTAAATTTAAAACTTTGTTGAATGTCTGAAACACTCAATAAATGATTGCAATTTTAATTATATATATATATTTTTTTTTTTAAGTTTCTAAATGAAATGAGATTAAGATTTGCCAAAGATCTTGACAAACAACTCCACCAATGTATGGGTGGAATGGCTGACAAAATTATGCAACTCGTAAAATCAAAGCATAAAGATGATGTAGTAAATGCAATTTCTGCAGAAATTGAGTGTGAACTTGATGACTCCATGAAGAAAGGTAATGTTTAATATTTGTGTCGCAATATTTTATAAAATGTTAGCAATGTAAAGTAAAAGTAAATTAAATTTTGATTTAAAATATTAATGATTTCGATTATTAGTAGTTCAGATTTCGATTATTAGTAGTTCTGATTTCGATTATTAGTAGTTCTGATTTCGATTATTAGTAGTTGCACATGGCCTTATACAACCCTTGGAATTAGGATCTACATTAGGCAATGGTGACCTAACTGTTTTTGAGGTCATCGAGTTTTTGCTGATTGTTTCGAATTTTATACTAGACTTTCTTTTTTTTTTTTTTTTTAATTTTATACTAGACTTTTTCAACAGTGTATTCATTCCATCTAAACAATATAATAAGCTTTTTCTACCTAATTCTAAGGCCTGGTCTTGTATTTTACTATTAACAGTATTTTATAAATAATTTGTTACATTACAGATGCCACATTAAATGCAGCCATTATTGTTTTACCAAGACTGTTCAAAGAATCTATAGACTGCCTGGTTACGTTTGACATCGAACCATTGCATAGTACGCTAACTATCAAAGTGCCAAAAAAACAAAGGCTAATAACAAAAGACTGTTGTGTAATGTTGGATGGTTGCAACATAATAGAGCATTTCAGCGATGTTGATGTTTCGTTGGCTATGTCGTGTGTTTTTGCATCGTATTATATATATAATATTCAATATCCAGCGCAATTGAAGAACACATTGTTGTTTTATGAACATATTGTCTATGGATTGTCTACTAAAGCATCACCAGTGACTATAACGAGAATGGCAAATACTTTGAATGAGTAATCAAATTGATTTATTATGTGTTTGTAGTTATATATTTGCATAGTCAATAATTCAGCTTTTTTTTTACCCTTAAAATTAATTGTTTATGTTATTCTGGAGTGGTTTTACATTTATTTTAATAATTATGCATTGAGTCATAAGTTGCAACATACGTGGATTCTTAAAATACTCTATTATAAATGCTTATTTTTTCATAATAAAAAAATATTTACAATATATTATAATATTGTATATAAACTATTATAGTAAAAAAGTATATATGCTATATTTTATATTAAATATAAAACATTTCTTTAAATGTTGATTTTCTCTAGATATATAAAATAAAATAGTTATTATATTATAGTTATAGTTATATAGTTATAATAAAAACAATATAAATTGATTGATTTATTCATTTTATTATTTTTTAACTCTCCTTCAAAAATCAGAAATAAAAAAAAAGTACTTTTTGTAAAAAGGAAACATTTATTAAAATAAAATTAATTTACATTATTAAATTAAAAAGGAATTAAATATGGTTTTGAAAAGAATTAAAAATAGTCGCTAAGGTAATGCCTGTGTCTCTCTTGCAACAAAATATAACATTTTGAAGGCAATTTATGCGAAACTGTATGAAAGGTTCTTTGAAGAACCTCAACGGATGCTCAAATATAGCACCCGTGGTAGAGTTCTTCGAAGATCCCTAAGTAGTTCTTTAAAGAACCTTTACGGATGGTTCTTGCGAAGAACCATTTTATAAGGTTCTTTAAAGAACCTAAAAGGGTGCTCCATTGGCATAACCGCTAAGAACCTTTAATAGTTCTTCCGAGAACCATTCGGCTTAAGAGTGTAGTTTATTTTATACCTTTTGTTATTTTATACCTTGGTTTATTTTATAGGGTAGGATGGGGCAAGAGGCCCAGGTAAAAGGCCCATCCTGCAGTTATAAAGAACCTAGATAAAATATTATAATTATTGTTTTGTAGTATGAATGATAAATCTGTAACAGTGTTGCGAGCTAATTTTGGTGAACTTTTAGTAGAAATATAATTTTTAACAGAATATTGAAGACTTGACAGGTAATAAGAATAGGACACATGATTTTTTGCGTAATTTTAAAAAATTTTTGTAGATTATTGTTAAACTTAGTTGATTATTTAAATGAGTTTATGTATTTGTAAGCGTACAAATTATGTATTGATTATTTACATAACGTTCATTGTACCATAGAATAATATGTTTTTATCAACTTTTGCACCGACCATTTTGGGGCAAAAAGCCCAGTTTGTTAATGGGGCAAAAAGCCCATCCTGAGCTTTTTACCCCTTGCATTATTTAAGTAGAATGTTCAAATTTTAACTTTATTTTATTTATAGATATGGTTAGAAATTACAAAAGGAAGACAAAAAGAGGAAGTTATGGAGCAGAAGGTTTACAACGGGCTTTAGATTCAGTAAAAAATGGTATGTCTTTGCGTAAAGCTGAAAACAGTTTTGGAGTTTCAAGGAAGGCATTGAGAAGGTATTTGCAGGGCAAAGTAAGACAAGTTGGGAGCAATAAATTAGGAAATCATGTGAATACGTTTTCTATTGAAATTGAACAAGATCTTGTTAAACACATCCAAATGATGGAAAGAGCATTATTAGCTAGAAACGAAACAAGTGAACCTACGAATACAAATGAAGAAGCCGGCAATGCGGTGGATGATGAAGCATCGGTTAATGTGATGGAGATTGATAGGATTGCAACAGGAGATAGCAATGAGTCCGATGAAAATCAACTAGATAAAACAGCTGATCATCCTGGTTTATCCGAAGCATTGCAGATTATATCAGAACTAAGCCCTATTCCAAGGAAAAACCGAAGCAGCAACTGTAATAACTTCTAGTCCTTATAAAGCAATGTTAATTGAAGCAAATGCAAAGAAGACAAAACAGAACAAGCAAGTAGTAGTTGAAAATAATAATGAGGAAAATGATGAAGACGAAATCGATGTAATCGCAGACAAATCCAAGAGAACGAAAAGTGGAGATGATAAAGAAACCGGGAAAAGGAAGCAATATGCGAGAACAAAATCAAAAAGGACAATCAAAAGTAACGCATCGAATGCTAACGTGATAAAAAAAGGGTCAAAAGAACGAAGATGTGTAGGTTCTGTTACTAACAGTGATGATACGCCATGTTGCATGTGTGGTAAAAGATTTAACGAACCACCCATTGATGACTGGCAGCAATGCCCAGAATGTCTCAACTGGTACCACGACGGCTGTGGTCCTGATGACACTGCTGTCTGCTTTCACTGCCAATAGGCATAATCAATTCAACTAGTCTTACTGTAGTTTTTTAGCTGTCTTTTTAGCTGTATGAATTAGTTTTTTAGCTGTCTTTTTGGGGTTATGAATTATTTTTTTAGATATCTTTTTAGCTCTATGAATTAGTTTTTTTTAGCAACTTTTAAGCTCTATGAATTAGCTTTTAGCTGTTTTTTTCAGCTCTATAAATTAGTTTTTATAGCTCTTTTTAGCTCTATTAATTTTACGGTGCTGTTTGCCATTGTCATATGATAGCATATATGGTGCTACTTGCTAATATTATGATGCTAAGTGTTCTACTAAAACTTTTGTTGGACATTTTTACACACAAATATATTGTGACTAGTAAAAAGTGTATTGTTGCAATAAATTTTTATTGTAAAAAAGGAATATTTCAAGCTATTAACGTTTGGGGTAAAAGGCCCAGGGTAGGGGCGTTTTGCCCCAGCAATGGGGCAAAAGGCCCACTCTATAGCAGTTTATAAAAAGCATATTTCCATTAAAACATGAGTAGCCATTGAGAAAATAACTTTAGATACTTAAGTTTATTATGTATCTGAAATAATGGTAACATAAATTTCTAGATACGTTTATTGGATCAGTAAAAAAAAGACGAAATTGCTTATGGTGAGCTTCTTGCCCCACCTTACCCTACCTATTTTATACCGTTGCGTAACTTTATTTTATACCTCCAAAATTTGTCTCTCCGAAACAGATGTATCTTTAGGAAAGTAACGCAAAAAAGTTACGTCATTGCTTAGAAATGTCAACAGCGTAAAACTAAAACGATTTGTAGTAAAACTTGCGAAGTTTAAAAACATGTTCGCTAACATAGCAAGAGGTACATAAAACAACTTTTATATTTTCATCTGCAAAAAAGATTGAAATTTCAATAACTTACGTCATCCAGCAAAAAAAATTATATTTTACATTTAAAAGAGATAAATTTAAAAAGTATAAATGCATTCAAAATTGAGTTTAAGTGAAAAAAATCACCACGATGACGTTGCAATCTGATAGAATAGAGACATTCATTGATAAGTATTCCAAATTTCCACTATCAGCCATATAGCTATGTTAGAAAATCTTAGTTAGCCAAGACAGGTTTTCGGTAAAAATCGCCAAAAACAGAAAAATGATCAAAAATCATTTAAAATATTTTAACAATGTTTATTTCTATTTCGTTTAATGTAAATATTTATTTAACAAAGAAAGATAGTTCTTTTATATTTTTTTAATTCATATATGAAAGCGTTTATAGAAAAAAAATACTATTATTTTTAAATGAAAATTAAAAGCTTTATTTGAATACCGCCATTTCTAAAAAACGTTATTTTTACAACCACAGCCTCGTTTCAAGAAGTATTTAACAAATATACAAGTAAAACAAAATGCTATAATATAAATTTATAAGAAGTCAGATTCTTGCTTCTAGAGCATCCATCTTAAAATCAACACCGATTTCAAAATCGTTTTTTTTAGTCCAGGGTGTTCTTGAGCCTCTTAAACAAAGGATAGTTGAGCGAAGTATCTCAAAAGATAACTTTGTTCTTAACCATGACATAACAACTGAGTATTTTTCATTTTGTTTTTCCGCTAGTTTCTCCGCTAGCCTTCTAACAAACCGATGACATTCTTTACCCATACCTCCATTTGTACCAAACACTAGCGGTGTCAAGCTGCCATGTTCGACTTAACGAACTCGTTTGCCATACTCTCTTTTTTTTTCCTTTTCGTGTTTTCTGAATATAGCAGCTATATCTAGATTTTTGTTGCTCATGGAATTGACATGCGTAACTCTTACGTCAAAAAATGCTGTCTGTCCATTTCGCCAAAAACCATTTGCTTTAATATCTAAACGAGCTTGGTTACTTTTATTTGCTGTATAGAAATAAAAATTCTCATTATCAAGGGGTATGAGGTGTGGTTCGGATTGAACATTTATGCACACTCTTTTAAGCAATGTGGTGAACAAATTTCTTATGTTATCATGACGACTTGAAATGAAGCCTCCTTTCTTACACGACAATGCATGAGTTACATTAAAAGGTTCTCCGTATTCACAAATACGAGGGATATTTTTCAAGTCAAAATTATAACGTAAGCAAAGTGCATCTCGAAATTCTTCTTTATTTAAAACAAAACCTTGGTTTTCTAGTGGTAAGGCGTTTAACCAGATGCTAGCACATTCGCTTCTTGTTTGCTGTATGTTTCTTAACATTGAATCTGGTTGCATTGAATCAACTGCAATTATTTTCTCTTTGCGATGCTTAAGTCTGTCAGTAGTTAATATTTTTTCAAGATCTTCTAGAATATTCCCGGAAAAGTTTTTTGTTTTTAAAATTGTATCTTGATCTCTAATTTGCTGTACAAGATTTTTAGTTAATTTAACAGAAGATAAAAACTGGTGAGGCGCTTCTTCAACTAGTAAAGGTAAACCTAATCCTCCATCTCGAGGAGTTAACGTAAAAAGTTTTCTAATGTGATCCTCAAAAGGCGTATCTTTTCCAAAAAGAGTTGGCAACAACAAATGACTAAGTATTTCGTCTACGGTCGCTAGATATTGTTCAAATTTTGAAATAGTTCTTAGGAAATATGTAAATTTTGAACGAAATCCTTTTGTAAACCCAATAAAAGCGGCCTGTGGTTGCGTCTCTGCTACTTTACAAAGTTGTTTTAACTCGGTTAACCATTTTGCTACTTTCTCAGTGCAATATTTGTCCTTAAAATTTTGCGAACCTATTACTGAACCCAAATGTCGTTGACCCTCTGTAGTTATGTTGACCGATTTACCAAATACTGTGACTGCATTCTCTGCTAACGAGGGGGATTTTACAATTAACCAGCATTTAGATTGGTTTACATAGTAGCCATGTT